TTGTGCTTTTAAAGTTGTAGCAATGTTTCAGCAGAATCTCATTCTGTATTGGCCAATACAGAAGCCTGATGATGGCAGATGAGATTCTGCTGAAACGTTGCTACAACTTTAAAAGAACTACAATGACGTGGGAGAATACCCGAACCAAGCCGAACACCATACATGTAAGTACCCGCGAAAACTTAAGAAAACATATATATATATATATATATATACTCAAATAATTAGTAAGTGCACTTGTATGGATGCTTACAGATTTATGACTACTGTGATGTCTCCCTTGGGTGACTCCCCAGATTCTTCCTCAGATGCCAGCTCAGGGGAGGTTGAGCCCATTCGTGGCATGTCAGGAACTTAATTGAGGAGCCAGGAATTCCTTAATTAAGGAAGTTAATTGATGGTTCTGAACAGCCATTGGAAAGAGATGTGGAGGAGGCTTCAGCTGGGGAAAGTTTGCAGTGTCAGATGGCCAGCGAAGAGGAGGAGAACGGCCTTCTGCACCCTGATCCAAGAGCACATAGGGCAGAGAAAAGGCAGCAGCTGCAGAGGTCAGTCAGACTACTTGAGAGGAGAAGGCCCCGCCCATCTTGATTGGCTGCACTGACTATTTAACACATCAGATATATGGAGGCATTGCTGAGAATGTGTTGGTTTTCTAGCTGTTTGTTTGACCATCGTGATTCCTACTTCACTCTGGATTGACACCGTGTTTAGAATTGTGCCTTGGAGGCTGTTACGAACTAAACAAACTCATTTGACAATAACTATACTAGCTTACTTCAGCAGCAGGCTTGTAATCCTGCACTTCGGATTGGCCCGCGGATAAGCGAATCGTGATTGGCCGATTCTGGCTGATCTGATTGGCTGACAACGGGCCGTCTCTGATTGGATGCTTTTAGAGCGGTTAGTTCAATTTCATTGGTTGTTGTGACAGCAGCCAGCTCTATAAAAGAGCTGCTGCTGCCCTAGTTGTCGCTCTGTTCTGAAGTCACTATTAAAGAGTTGAATTGAGTCACTATCGATGCCTCGTCTCCGTTATTGCGTCCACTCCTCCAGATCTAACACTGGCGACGAGGATGGGATGTGGAGATGATAGAGCTGACTGAACACTCGCTGAGTACCGAACAGAGCACGTGGCTAAGAGAGCGCCAACAACGGCAAGATGGCCAGCGGCGCCATACCACCCGCTCCATTTGACCCGGCTAACGAAGACTGGGACTCGTATATAGACAGGTTCCAGATGTTCCTAGAGACCAACAATCTGAAAGACGCTGCGCCTGGCAAGAAACGAGCGATCTTCCTGACCCATTGCGGGCCTGCCATTTTTAAAATGGCTAAGGCACTTGCTAAACCAGCGGAAGTTAAGACAATGGATTGGGATACCCTCGCACCGATCCTCCGAGCCCATTATGCACCCGCGGTACCAACGCTTATCCGAAGGCACGAATTTTACCAGAGGGACCAACGGAAAAATGAGAGCGTTGGGGACTTCATCGCGGACCTCCGGAACCTGGGAGGCCTCTGTGGTTTCGCAAACCTCGAGGAAGCCATGAGAGACCGCATAGTTCTGGGATTAGATGACCACACTGCGCAGAGCAAGATCATGGCTAAAGGGGACATCGACCTCGCAGATGTCATCGCCGACGCTACTGCAGCAGAAGCAACCAGGAAGTCGGCCGCTCGAATGCGCCGCACCAACGCACCGCTCCGCCAACTCGCCAGTGATACTACGCCTTTTTCCGAGAGGCACTCAACAACGGCTCACCATGAAGACCTCGAATCCTCGTCTGATAGTGAGGAAGAAGAGGTCAACCGACTCAGGTCAGAGCGCGACCAGCAAGACCAGAAGAGCCAGAAACCTGCACGTCAATGCGCCAGTTGCGGGGCCAATCACCTGCGATCGGACTGCAAATTCCTCGACGCACTCTGCCGTTCCTGTGGAAAGAGGGGCCACATCGCAAAGGTTTGCAGAAGCAAGCGAGCATCAAGCCCAATCCGAAGAACAACAGGCAGCCCACCTGTAAATCGGGACCGTCTGAATCACCAATGGAACCACTATCACTACAGAAATCGAGCGCCTGCTGTGTCAGCTAGGCGAGAAGAGGCGCATCTAACCATTACCATTGGTCACGCATCATCCTTGGATGCAAGAAAGATCCGAGTGAAGGTCGCCATTGAGAATCATCCATGCATAATAGAAGTAGACTCGGGATCGTCCCTATCGATGGTCTCGTGGAAAACCTTCAAACAGCTGATCCCTGACATCCGTCACCAGGACCTCAGCACCCAAAAAATCATATTAAGGGACTACCAGGGGAACAGGATTCCCGTTGCCGGTTCCCGCAACGTCCCGGTGTCCTTCAAGGACCACACCGCAACTCTGCCTATTACCATCGTCGATCGAGACCGACCCAGCTTGTTGGGGTTACAGTGGTTCGCTCCACTGGGAATTGAACTAGCTGGCATTCACCAGACCGGGAACAGCGACTGGGAAGCAGCCCTCGTTCCAGGACGTGTTCACCGAGAAGCTAGGCAAGTACAAGGGATCCCCCATATCGTTTAGCCTCAACCCCGATGTCGCGCCCATTCGCCTTAAGCCTCGTCGAGTGCCCTTCTCACTCAAGCCAAAGATTGACGAACAATTGGACAAATTAATAGCTCAGGGGGTGTTAGAACCGATCGATCACGCCCGTTGGGAAACCCCGATTGTAACTCCCATAAAGCCTGATGGATCGATAAGAATTTGTGGAGATTACCAGGCCACCCTAAATCACGTGCTTCAGCAGAGCGCTTACCCGGTACCTGTGGTCCAACATCTTCTTCACTCCCTGGGTGGCGGAAAAATATTTGCAAAATTGGACCTCGCCCAGGCATACCAGCAACTACCCGTAGATGCAGAAACTGCTGAGGCCCAGACTATAGTCACGCACAGAGGTGTGTTTAAATGCAATAGACTCCAGTTTGGAGTGAGTGTAGCACCAGGCATTTTCCAAAGCCTGATGGAGAGACTGCTAAAAGGCATAAAAGGAGTCGTGCCTTATTTCGATGACGTATTGATAGCTGCCCCCACTAAAGACGTATTAGAGAAACGACTCAGAACGGTCCTTCAGAAATTCAAAAACGCCGGTTTAAAAGTAAAAAAAGACAAGTGTCAACTTTGTACTGAGAGGGTTGAATTCCTGGGGAACCTTCTTGACAAAAAGGGAATCCATCCCACTGAGAAAAAAGTAATTGCGATAAAAAACGCCCCAAGACCCAGGAATAAAACAGATCTCCAAGCCTTCCTAGGACTCATTAACTTTTATAACATCTTCTTGCCCCAAAAGGCGACTGTAGCTGAGCCCCTACATAGACTACTCGACAAGAAGGCTTCCTGGGTCTGGGGACACCGGGAAGAACGAGCCTTCCAGCAAGTAAAAGATCTCTTAACCTCAGATGCTGTATTAATGCAGTATAACGAGACTTTGCCTTTAACGGTCACCTGCGACGCTTCACCGTTTGGGGTAGGAGCCATCTTAAGTCATGTCCTACCAAACGGAAATGAAGCACCTATTGCTTTCTTTTCATGAACTTTATCAAAGACTGAAAGAAACTACAGCCAACTCGATAAAGAGGCTCTTGCTATTGTATCCGCTATTAAATGCTTTCATGAATATGTATATGGCAGACCGTTTACCATAATAACCGATCACAAGCCATTGCTGGGCATTTTAGCGGGAGACAAACCAACTCCCCACATATTATCACCAAGAATGACCCGTTGGTCAGAGTTTCTAGCCGCATACGATTATCAACTGCAACACCGCCCGGGGAAAGCCATTCCCCACGCTGACGCCTTGAGTCGCTCTCCGCTACCGAAAGCCATAGACGATCCGGCTCCAACTTTAACTGCACTCCAAATCGAAACTCTCCCTGCGCCACCCCTGACTGCGTGAGACATCGCCGCGGAAACAAAAAAGGATCCTGTATTCGCTCGAGTCCTCAGCTAGGTGGAACGAGGTTGGCCTGACACCGAACCCAACGACACCTTCGCGCCGTTCAAACACCGACAGACAGAACTGTTTTCCCAGAAGGGCTGCATCTTGTGGGGAGACAGAGTCGTCATTCCAGAAAAATTACAACATACAGTTCTAAAACTGTTGCACGATGGTCATCCAGGCATCGTGCGAATGAAGGCATTGGCAAGAAGTTACGCGTGGTGGCCAGGTATCGATAAACAGATAGAAGCCTGGGTGGCCACATGCAACAAGTGCCAGGAAATCCACGCTGCCCCACCGAAGGCACCTCCAACTGAATGGGACGCACCTCGTGGTCCCTGGTCCCGCATCCACATTGACTTTGCGGGACCCACCAAGGGACACACTTTTCTCATAACTGTGGATGCCTATTCCAACTGGCTCGAAGTCCACAAAATGAAGAGCACCACCACAGAAGCCGTCATTAAAAAATTAAATAGACTATTCGCTACGCATGGATTGCCTGACGTTTTAGTCTCAGATAAGGGTCCCCAATTCACTGCCCTAGCATTTGAACAGTACCTAGCCGACCGGGGCATCCGCCATGCCTTAACTTCGCCAGCTCACCCTGCGGCCAATGGCAGGGCTGAGCGCATGGTCCAATTCATAAAAAAGACCTTGCCCAAGATGGAACATGGAGACATTGATGACAAAGTAACCAGAATGCTTCTCCTCCAACACATCACCCCGCACAGCATCACAAACAGAACCCCGGCCAAACTTCTGATGGGCTGGAAACTTCGCTCGCACCTCGATCACCTGCACCCAACCTACACGCCAGAAAAACCTTGCGGTTCCAGCAGCAAGTGTCGTGCGTTCAAGGTAGGCGACTTAGTCTTTGCAAAAAACTTCTCAAGTGATCCATTGTGGGTCCCCGCTACTATAACTCAAATTACGGGCCCCAGATCTTACCGTCTACAAACTAGCAATGGGAAATTATGGAAGCGCCATATAGACCAACTTCGTTCCCGATTGGCACCTAACCCTATCGCAACCCCTGAATCTCAAACTGGGGGGGAAGGAAAATCGAGGGGGCCGAAATAGAAATAGCAGACGACCCACTAACTGACACCCAGCAGTCTGCACAACCAACCATGGGATACTCACCTTCCGGAGGAGGACCGAGCCGGGTTATTGTTTCACCTCAAAGCAGCCCGTCAAAGAAGCAAGTCCAAGGAACCCGGATGACAACAGAGAGGACAGCCCTGAGTCCCCGAGCGAAACAGTGGAACCGTTTTCACCACCCGATTCTACAAACAGCCCACTGGAGTCCACGCCAGAGCAGAGACCGGTGGAACAGCGAAAATCGAATAGACAGGTGAAACAGCCTGCCTACTTACGAGAATACGTCACCCCACCCCTAAGACGGAACCTAGGGGGAAGGGGTGTTACGAACTAAACAAACTCATTTGACAATAACTATACTAGCTTACTTCAGCAGCAGGCTTGTAATCCTGCACTTCGGATTGGCCCGCGAATAAACGAATCGTGATTGGCCGATTCTGGCTGATCTGATTGGCTGACAACGGGCCATCTCTGATTGGATGCTTTTAGAGCGGTTAGTTCAATTTCATTGGTTGTTGTGACAGCAGCCAGCTCTATAAAAGAGCTGCTGCTGCCCTAGTTGTCGCTCTGTTCTGAAGTCACTATTAAAGAGTTGAATTGAGTCACTATCGATGCCTCGTCTCCGTTATTGCGTCCACTCCTCCAGATCTAACAGAGGCTCTGAACTTTTCTTGCCATGTGAGCTGTCTTATGTGTAGATTTAAGTTTAAATCTTGTGGATTTAAATTTTTCTGGTGGAGTTATTGTGTTTGAGCAACTTTCAATTGCTTTGTGGACTATTAGGCATTGCTCTGTAGAGTAATTTTGGCTGCTCATGGCTGGACTTAATTGGGCCAGTTCTGAGTTTTGGTGAATTGCTGGAGATTATGAATAAACTCACTAAGCTACAGTTACGTATGTGAGTGAGTGGAGCAGCACAACTACAGGCATTATAAAAAACCCGAATCTATTAAATTGTTTGGAATTAAGCAGGTGTGTACAAAGACACTTGCTGTAGCTGTTTCTTTCAGCTGTATGAATAAACACAAAAGCACTTGCTATTCAGATTTATTTCAGTCTTACTACCGTCCCTGTCTTATTGTTTTTTATTTTTCTTATAAGTATCTATCTCATGTATTCAAAACTATATTTATTCTTATACCTGTACCTTGTAAGCGATTGACAAATCAAATAAATACTAAATGCTAAATTGCTGTAGTTCATTTCTTGCTACAGTTCCTTGCAGTATGCAATTAACTAATTGATCTATAACAATATTCAGTTCACCCGAATTCTTAGAGCAAATGAAGCTATTTTTACAATAATTGCACTTACCTGACCGTTAAAATTTTGATCATGATTTCTGTTTGTCTACATACAATACTTGGAATGGGTTATACATTTGCAATATATTTTCTTTTTATATTATGATAATTCTAAGATCTAGATTTCATACTTGTGGCTGACTGATGTGTACATTGCTGCTTGTTCTGTGAGGCAATTGAAGAGAATATATGAGCATGTATAGAATAAATGGTCAAAGTACTTTTGTCTACTAAACTCAAATTCTATTTTGTATAATAAATATGCTAAAGAAATTAAAACCAAGCAATTGTAATTCTTTCATACAAGTAGACATTTTTGTATGAATTCTTGCTAAAAAAGACATCTTCAAAGCAACAGATTTCAAAATACTACAGCTTCTCCAGTTTGTTGTACTAATTACAGTTTAGATTTTGTTATAAATTATGTCTCAATTTTTAAATAAAGTTAGATTTATAATATGTATTTCTTTATCTCTTCAAAAAATCTCTGTCCAAAAAACAAATAATAGTAAAATAATATTTATAAGAACTTGTGAATTATTTTGCATGGGGAGTTTTAAATAATTCTTTCTTTTGGGTTTTACTTATCATTAACAAGTAGTTAATAGTTCTCCTTTTTTAAGAGTGCGTTGACAGGGTTTTTTAAAAAAGAAAAATATTTTAATATTTTAGGAATTGTTAGTTCATGGGCAATGAGCTCATGAATGCAAAAATTGAACAATAGTTTGTTTATTATACTTTGGATACAATTGTCATTTTTTAAAGTTGCATCCCATCTACATTTAACCAAACTAATTGAGGGTTAGTCTGTTAAATTGAGATTTCACTGCAAATGGATCCATTTACATTAATTAGGCAATTACACAAATGGAGTAAATGGCACAGATGATACAAATTTGAATGTAAAGATACCTTCTCCTTCCAAATTGTCTGTTAAGTCAAAGTTCAATTGTCTTTAAAAACCATTGTACTCTTGAAGGACAGTTTTAGATGATATCATCTGGGATTGGGAGAATGGAAAAACGGAGAAATTTATTAGGTAAACAGTTTGGAACTTCATAAGGTTATGAAGTCTTTAATCTCATATCCCAAAAGATGGTTCTAATATAATATGTAATGTATTACATTATCCAAAAAGCAGTTAACACTACTTCATACTTTTAGAAGTTATCTGTTTTTAATGGTAGACCAGATAGGAAACTGATCATCATAATCATACTTTCTTGAGCGTAAAAAAAATCTTGCAAGTCCACATCTGTTTTACTTTTGCTCTGTCATATACCCCAATGTGTCAGGGAAGAACCAGTCTGAGTCTCCTACTAATCCTGTCTCCTTCCCCAAGGCTCTTCCCCAATGATTCTGCTCTTATTTCTGCAAACAGTGCCTTCAAGACCATCTCATAGCTTTCCGCATCATCCTACCTGTTTATTCATTGCTGTAATAATTAAATGATAGGTCAGCAAAGTAATGCTGTATTTGCTCATGCACAGTCCTGGAACCCTCATATCTAGGAAGACTCTTTGAATAATCATATTAAAAACTGTTAATAAACCAAGACAATTGATTTGGCATAGGAAATTGCAAAGTGATATTTAGGAATGTAGGATTAACAATTGATCCATAACCCCTGAATTTATTTGAGGGGTGGGGCGGGGTCTAAAATCGTATTCAAAATCTGTGCATAATTGCATTGAGTTCTTTTTGTAAAACTTAGACAGAATATGCCAATTAAAAACTAATATACAAAATTCTTGTTCTTCAAAGTTGTAATGGAGTTGGGGAACTGGTAAATTTACTGAAGTGATGATAACTCTAATTACTACCTTGGTTGGAGAAAAACAAGTGAATATCTCATAAGATTTTTGTTCTAAGCTTGTGTTTTATTATAGTATATAGGATATCACGAAAATTTATTTACATTTTTCAAATCATGGGTGTCTAAACTTTTGGCTTGCCTAGACTGAGTAGAGTAAAGAGCAATTGTTTTGGGCTGTACATAAAATAGATAATACAGTTAACTATATTTTGTTTTTAAATACCACACTGTCTTGTATAGCTGCATTATTAGCTGCCCAGGGCTGCATGCGGCCTGTGGATCACAGGTTGAACATGCTTTCTCTAAATATTGAAGAATATGAAAAGGCAAAACTGTTTTTGCTTTTTGTTTTCTTTGGCTATGGCATTATGTTAGCTACCATGAGTACATCATACTTTATTGTCTGTTCCTAACCCACCTTATGTTATTTTAATTCTGAAATAACCCAGCCCCATCCTTAAAAACTTTCCATTTTTTAAATAATGTTTTAATTTACAGATTTTATTTTGTTGCAGTTTAGTGAAACTATAGTGTTATTGGATACACACAAATATTTTATATGACAATATGTTAGATGCTACATTCATTTCAATTCTTTTCTATCAGACAGTTGGGAATTGTTTACATTGGGCAAAAATAGTAATTTCGGGAGGAATCGTGAACAGAGTGTTACTTTTGCTTATAGATGCATTATGTTCCTCTAAAAATAATCTATAAACAGATGGAGGGATAGGAAGAGGCATAAAAGAGAGAAAAAACAGATTGACATCATTCTTGTAGAAATCTGTAGTAGAAGATTTTAAGAAACAATACAAAAAGCTCTTTGTTCAACATAAACCACATACTGACATTTAAAAGGCTCAGATATGAGAAAGTGGTAAATATCTTGAAGTTTAATTTTTTTTCTCAATATTCCTTCCCATAAATTGTGCCTAAAAATTCTTATTTTCATCATTTTCACTATTATTTCAGACACATTATTTTCATCATTTTCACTATTATTTCGGACACAATTTCTGTTGCTATTCCCTGATCAACTTTTGCAGAATGAATTTTTCTTTCAACATTTATCATTTCTGTGATTCCAAGTATTTACTTCAAAGTAAAGCCAACTTAGTATTTGAAACATTTCCAGTTCCAGTTTTTGATGTATTGATTTTACCCCCTTAGTCTCACAACAAAAGCCAATTAGTGCCAAATAAAGAAAATCAGAAGCATTCAGGAATCTATCCCTTGTCATGAAGTTGCTCAAGATAGAGAAGATAGTTTGGTTTGAATAATTGGGGAATGCAGTGCAATAACAGTTTGGAATCTTTTCTGCCCTAGATTGATATTGCAGGTGGAATCCTGAAAAAAATGATAAAACTATATATTCAAAGTCAATTTACCACAGAATCTGAACTAAGAGATTTATAAACACACTGGGTACAAAATTCACCATGCAGTACATACTTAAGTGAATTAGACTTGACCAAATCTAACCATTGCTAAACCATTGGCTAACACTGAGCTACACTAGTTGTTGGGTAGACTAACTTTTGTCTAGAGATGTTCTATTTAAAAGGTGAATTTTCCCAATAGAAGATCCTGTTGGCCTGATTTACCTGTTGGATATCACAGAACTGCATAGGCTAATGAATCGTCAGGTCCAGCTCTGCTAGTTTCTGGATGGACCTGACCATTAAAACCCCTGTCAATACAAGGCAGAGTGATGTAGGCAGATCCCTTAGCCTCTGATTTCACACCTTATTTGCCCATACCCTTTTCAATCAGACACATATGTAACTGCATATGTTATAATTTCCTTACAATGGACTTGCTTGGAAACATTGCAAATTATACATAAATGTCTGCAGGGAAAAACCCTTCATTTATATTCTCTATCAGCATTGGTTTCCACATAAACTCATCTTGCATTAAAAAGGTCTTGCTCATGTATAAGCCAATGTCTATACAATTATACAACAAAAGGGTTTTCTCATGCATAAACTCTCACTGAGCATGCAAGTGTCAAGGCTATAGCAATATTGTTTTCCTAGTGATCTAATGCTAATAGCAAAATGAGAAGAAAAAATGTATGGAACCGTTCCAAGCTGTTATAAGTTACCAGAAAGCAGACCAGATCAATTCATATGGAATCTTCAGTGGATATTAAACCTAGTCAATACAGTCTAACAACACTTATATTTTATCAATTATCAAGAGTCAGCAAAAAAGTGGAAGAATTAAGTTCCTTATTTATATAAAATATAGCATTATCAGATAAAAAGATACAGCCTGAACTCCAACCAGTGTTTATATGTGCTCTCTCTGTGTGTGTATGCATACTCGCACATAAACATAAGAAGTTATAATCTTCATGGGACAACAAACAGGACCATTTTAGAGCCCCTTACACTTAGCCCTAGATTAACTTTACAGATTATATCCTGTAAATTCTGTGCCTATTGCTGTTGCATCTGGTGGGATTTCCTGAAACCAACCTCGATAGTGCATATGGTGCATTACTGTTTACAAAGATAACAAGCTAGGTTAGATATCATATACCAATGGAATATTACATTGCTGGTGTAATCCTGCTAATAAACCTCAGTATTTTAAATGTGTGCTCTGGGCTGTTCTTACTTTTACATTCAATACAAAAAGAGTAGCATTAAATCTGTTAAGAATGAGTGATTGAGACCAGACCCGGAATTTTTACTGCTTCAGAAATAAGATGTGATGAAAAAGTTACTATTGCTATTTCCCTCTTTTTTCTGAGACTGCCTATCTCCGTCAATGCAAAAAAAATATCACCATTAAGCCATAGCCTTGACATATCTGAGATCGTTCAGAGTCCCTTTGAGTCCAAAGCTTAATGGCATCCAAGCAAATTCAACAATAAGAGGAAAAAAGGGGAAAATCAAACCTCATTCTTTATGGCCATGCCATGTTTTGCACCAGAAAACCAAGCAAAATGTAAAAGCTTTCCTTGGAAATAATTTTTGAAAAGTTTGAGTAAGGTTAAACCTAACCTGTTTAACAGATAAATTGGATGTGGCTATGCTGTCCTTTCCTTGTCCTCCTTGCTAATTTTACCCAAAAGAAGTACAGGAAAAATATTTTAAAAATGTATTATGGGGGGATGACAATTTCAGCATCTTAAACATTTTCCAAATAGTCTAATATTCCTACTATTTTCATTCCATTATGTTGAAAAATGAAGCAATCTCAGACATATATAAACCTACCTTTGATCTTGAAGGAATCTTGAAATTGTTCAAATCACAAAACTGAATGAAAACATGCCGTCTGTGAAATCTAGATCACCAATTTAAGTCAAATCAGAGCTGATTCATAAATTCTAGAAATCAACCATATTCACATGGTATTCTTTGCCATATCTTAAATGTTCATTTAGCAAACTTGGAAATAAAAACTCAAAACTATTGGCCATCAAGACTTTTCAATCTCTGAGATGGTATTTTGCTTTAAGAGTGATGTGAGAAAAGCTGTTTTGTTAAGAAACATGACTTGCTCACTTCTGAAATTTAAATGGCCATACCATTTCTTTTTGCCCTGTTTGTGAATCCTTCAGTGTCTCTGGCCATATTTCTTAACTGTTGACAAACACGGCAAGAACAGAAGGCACTACTCAACCACTCTCCAAAGTTCTGAATCTTACATAATCAAGAAATAATTAAATTAATATGTGGGGAGATATGTAGGCAGTAACTAAATTATCAGACACTTACTTTCTTTGAAGCACTTAACTTGCCTTTCCTATTTGTGAAGAAAATGAGGCTTTTTATATATCAGAGGCTAATATCTCTAGATATAAATGGAAATTGTCACTTTGTGATGCTGGCTATAAATTTGTCCTGGCAGATGTGGAAAATAAAACTTTGAAAGTAACTGCCTTTGAATACTGAAGCATGGATGAAACTCAAATTTTAAAGGTCCATTTCTTGGTATTTGGTTTCCTTCATTTTATATGCATAATTCATCATTGAGTTGCATCTCAATTGCTGTTTTATAAAAATATTTACTGAGGTATTGTAGCCTCTTAACTTTCTCATTCGGTCTTCTGTTCCTTTTTTAAACAAAATTTTAAAAGCACAAAGGATTTTCAGTAGAAGCTCACAGAAATCTTGGTGATGATTATGAGAACAATTGAACAGGGCTATTTTGTTAAGCTTAACATATAAAGAACACAAACAGATGTGCTAAAAATGAAAGTATCTGTAGATCAAAAGTTCTCAACCTTTTCTTCACCACCAACCCCCTTTAAATATCTTTTGTGGCCAGGGACTATGACCAAGGACTTCCAAAACTTTACTCAATATTTAAATAACATTTATTCAAGCTTTTGTGGATATTGCAGCCCCCCAGGGGTCCATGGAGCACAGGTTTAGAACCAATGGTCTAGACATTTTAAATTAAATATAAATAGCTACAATATCCTGTGTTTGCCTGCCATTGGTATAACTGACTATGAAATAACATTACTTTAATGTAACTTCCCTCACATTGTTTTTAACATATTTAAAAGAAAGAATGACCGATAACAATAAAAATTTCTTTTCTGTGGTCCTTACCATGATAGTTTAAAAAAAGATAAAACCCCAAAACAAAACAAATCTATTATATCATTCTTTTACAAGTGCATACAGTGATGCCTGAACTGCATATTGACACTGAAAAATATCACAATCAGATTAGCAGAAAATGGAAGATCTCTCTCTTCAGTGAATATATTCTTTTACATCTTTAAAGCCAAAATCAAAGTTAATCAAAATCAGCAAAAATAAATCTTACTTTTTTATTGCCAGAATGCAAAAAGTTTGTAAATATGGTTTGGCTTAGCTGTAGAGTTTATAAATGGAATTAATTAAGACATGTTTTTTTAGGAAAAAAAAGGCAGAGGCAAAATAATGTCACTTTCTATGGCATAAAACTTGTGTATTCATATTTTTATGCCAGTTGATTGGAACAAATCAATTTGATTCTTTTAAACTTTCCATTTAACAGCTCCCATATGCTTCATATTACACATTATAAAGGAAAGAAAGGAAAAGAAAAGGAAATATAATTAATCAATTTCCTAACTTGCTGTTAGTTAAAACATTTCATTTTAACAAATTCATCCTTCCACAAAAAGAACTGCTGAGAAAACCACATCAAATAATTTTATATGAAAGTTCACCCTTCATTTCAATTTTTTTTCTAAGAAACATTTTAACACAGAGAAACATAATGAAATGACACCCATAAAATGCAAGCACTAAATTCATAAGCCACTTGGCATAACATCAAACAAAGCACTTCAAAACATTTTGATTTTTGTCTACATTGCTCATGCTACCTTTCAAGTTTTGGAATTTTCTCTGAGTCATTGGGGGTGGGGGGAATGGATTAGAAATTGTTCCTTTTTTATCAAATAGATCCTGTGCCAGGAACAAGACAATCACTGAAGAATAATGCACACCCTGCTTTCATGTCTCCTTTTTGTATCAGAAATTTTGATAAAAACAATGTCTTTCTCTTGAATTGCACCTGCATTTAGATTCCATAGAATTAAAAACAAAACTTTGATCAACTAGAAAACAAAACAGCATAATGCAAGTGGATACTGCCTCTTTTTTGACCTTCTGATTTCTCTAAAATAAGTGTTAAATAAGTATGGCTTTGTTTTCTTAAAACATCACCAAAAGAACCAAACTATGCTCTTAAATCTAATATATATTTTTCTCATCTGCCATCATCAGGCTTGTGTATTGGGTTCGTCTGTGAGTCAGACTTTCATAGCCGTTTCTGTTTTAAATTTGGTGCTAGCCTACTGCTGTGCCAGAATGGTTTTTTCTTCATCCTGATTGGTTGGGAGTCTTGGTCTGTGTTTATTGGTCTTGGAGTTTGCTGTGTTCTGCTTGATTGGTGTTTCTAATATCTTCTGTTGTTTTGTAGCATTTTTTTTGTCTTGATTAGCTGGCAACATGGTATTTCATGTATTTGGGGCTTTTAGCGCAGCTTGGCTGGCTATCATTTATTAGGAAGCTAGGTTTCATCTGGGTGGCTGGGTGGGGTGTGTCTGAGTTAGAGGTATGTTTGTTTGGCTTGTGGTGTGGAGATATTTTTGTTTGTGAGTGCAGGCTTCCAGATAATTGACAGTCTGGTGGAGTCATCTCTTCTATTCATGTTTTCAGGTCATTTTTCAATCTCTATGGCTTCTCTGATAATTCTGTAACTGGGGTTTTCTATAGTGGCTAGGGTTTTGGTGCCACTGAAGTTAATGCTATGACCTGTGGCTTTCATGTGTTGGACTAGTGAGGAAGTGTGTTCCAGCTTTTTTACTGCATTTCTGTGTTCCATCAAGGTGGGTACTTATTCTTCTATTGATCTGTCTGATGTATGTGGCAGGACATGATGCGCAGGGAACTTCATATATACCTTGGTTTTCCAGG